AGGGCGAAAAGCCCTGGTCAAGACCTCGGGGGAGCTGCGCTGCTGAAAAGCCACGACTCACGCGGCACATAGCTATATCTATATAAATATATATACATATGTATATACAAGTGGCACGTGTGTGCCCAGGCTAAAAAAAACTGAAAGGGCGTTTGAAGCAGGAAGACACCATGACTGCAGGATCGGAGATGGAGAAAGGGAAGCTGGGGCGGCGCCGCCAGGGCGTGCCTAAGAGAAGGGGAAAAGGCAGGAGGTGAACGCAGAAGAATCTAAGATCGAGGTCGCACTCGAGCGCAAGTGGGGTTGCCACACCTTGCGATGTGTGTACCAGGGCCCCCCAGGAAACCTCAGGAGGCCCGACTTGGACACCGGAAGAGGCTCCAGGAGGCCCCGGGATTGTGAGTGTTGTGTGTGTGATGTGCGTGTTTTCTGTGCGTTGTAGGTGTTGTGTGTGTTATGTTTGTCTAGCGTGTGATGTGTTGGGTGTGATGTATGTCTTTGTGTGTGCATGTAGTTCTGAGGCCCCAGGAGGCCCCAGGCGGCCTCAGGAGGCCCCAGAAGACCCCAGGAGGCTCCAGGAGGCCCCAAGAGGCTCCAGGAGGCCGCAGGAGGCCCCAGGAGGTTCCAGGAGACCCCCAGGAGGCTCCGAGGCGGGGTTTGGGGTGCCAGAAGGTACAGAAAGCCCCAGGAGGTTCCAGGAGGCTCCCAAGAGGCTCCGAGGCGGGGTCTGGGGTTCCAGAAGGCACGTCGGAGCTCGATTTTGGGAGGATGTCTCAGGCGAAATCGCCATTCTTTGAGAAACGATGTCAAAATCATTGAACTTACAATATGTTTTTGAAGATTTTCTGTTAGAATCTTGAAAGTCCTATGTGTTTTTGGACCCTGACGTCACGATCTGCGTGAGGGGCGCCACCGATTTTCAGAATTTCGAGGATGTTCCTAGCGAAACGGCCAGAAAAATCGCGGACGCCGCCTTCAATTAATCGGTTCTAAGCTCTACTCCCTGGGAGAGGTGCGTCTGAGAATATTTATATAAAGACACATACACCAGCAAACATAGATGTTCATGATGGGAGCTGACGGAAACGCGAAAGCCCAAAGAAAGAATTAATGTGTCCCCGCCAGCCCATCCCAAACCGACGCCCAGGCGAGCTGCCTTGATCAAGGGGGAGAATGCAGAGGAACAAGGGGCTGGAGAAACCTGTGTTCCCAAAGAGGGGGAAGAAGGAAGAGGAGTCGTCGTCAGCGTCGTTTAAGGACGAGGAGGAGGAGGAAGGCGAAGAGGAGGAAGGAGGAAACAAACGTGGTCAAGGAGGAAGAGGAGGAGGAGGAGGAGGACGTGGGGGAGGGGGAAAAGGGAGGAGAGAGGAGGAGGAGGAGGAGGAGGAGGAGGAGGAGGAGGAAGAGAGAAAGAGGAGGAGGCGATAAGGAGGAGGAGGAGGATGGGAGGAGGAGGAGGACAGGAGGAGGAGGAGGAGGAAGGAAAACAAAGCGAACAGAAGAGCGAGAAGCCTCCTGAATTACTCTCAGAGTCTCCTTGGAATACTCTCGAAAGCGGCAAGGAGGAGGAGGAGGAGGAGGAGGAGGAGGAGGAGGAGGGGGAGGAGGCGGAAGGAGAGGAGGAGGAGGAGGAGGAGGTGGGGAGGTCGAGGAGGAGGAGGAGGAGGAGGAGGAGGAGGAGGAGGAGAGGAGTAGGCGGATAAGGAGGAGGAGAGGGAGGAGGAGGACGAGGAGGAGGAGGAGGAGGAGGAACAAGGACGAACAGAAGAGCCTTCTCGAATGTCTCTTGGGAGTTGTGGAGGCCTCTAGGAGCGTCGGGGGGGCAGCTTGGCAGGCCCAGGGCCGTCTTTGATAATCTTTGGTGCCTCGGGGATCCTCTTTTTAGGCCTTTGGGGGGCCTCTTGGGAGCCTCTTGGATGCCTGTTGGGCGCCTCTTGGGGCCGTCTGGCCGCCCCTTGGGACCCTCTTGGGGCGCTCTTGGGAGCCTATTGGAAACCTCTTGGGCGCCTCTTGGAGCCGTCTGGGCGCCTCCTGGGGCCCTCTGAGGGCGCTCTTAGGAGCCTTGAAGACGCTCTTGGAGCCGTCTTGGACGATATCGATCAAAGAAGGGGAGGATCGCAATTAGCCTTGCCGCGCTCTTGGGCGCTCTTGGGGCCGTTTTGGCAGAGCGATTATTTGGAAACCTTGTGAAGGTTGAAAACGCCCCATACACATCGAGTCTGGAGCCTCTGGAGGAGGAGGAGGAGGAGGAGGAGAAGGAGGAGGAGGATTTTTAACATCAACCCTGCCAAGACGCATACCTGGGTGGTCGGCGCCACCACCCAGGCTCGCTGCACCACAAGCGTCAGCGGGGGGCCAGCGCTCGACCTGACCAGAACCGGACCCCCCGACCGTGCAGTGCACCCCGTGGATCGTGAAGTACAACCTCGAGGAGAGAACCTCCAGGACCACGGCGCGGAGGAGCAGCGGCGGCAGCACCTCCACCAGGAAGGAGAACGGGCCTACCCAGCCCAGGACGGAGGATCGCTCGACGCCGCCAGCCGTCGCCGACAGCTCCCAATGAGGTCGTCCGCCTCCGCTGAGCTTGCCTTCCCCCCTTCGAGCAAGCGCCGTGCTCGCTCGCGCAGGTCGAGCTCCCTGAGGTCGCCGTGCGGCCCGATCTTGACCGCCGAGGCCGCGATCACCCCGCCCACCGACGCCACCGCGCCCGCGGCAGCACCAGCAGCAGGCCCCGAGGGGGCCGCGACGCGGAGCTCGTCAGCGAACTCGTCGTCGAGATCGGAAGCAGACGAGGGTATGGCGGCGACAGCTCCGCGAGCTGGCTCCGCAGACACCGCCCGCTGCCGCACCGGAGGAGCGTCGGCCGACGCGCGCCCAGGCGCCGCGGGCGCCGAGTCGCGCAGGGGGAGGGCGCCAGCCAGCAGATCCACGTCCACGCCGGAACCCGCGCCTCCCGCGCCGTCGCCGCCAGCCGCCGCACCCCGCAGGGGCCCGCACTGCGGCGTGCGGGTAGCCGCGCCAGCGCCCCGCCCCTCCGCGTCTTGCCGCGCGTCGCCGCCGTCGCCGCCGTTGGCGTCGCCCGCATCAGCGCCACGCCGTCCCCTGCGGCCGCGAGGCCTGCGCCGCCTCCGAGGAGGCGCGGCAGGCGCAGCAGCGCCAGCGGGGGGAGGGTGCGCCTGCGGGGCCGCCAGCTCGGCGATCGCGGCGCGCAGCAGGCCCTCGGCCGCGCGCAGCAGCCGCGCGCCCGAGCGGGACGCGCCTGCCGCGAGGCCGCTGGCGGCATGGGCCGCCAGGAGAGCGCCGCGCGCCGCCTCCAGGGCGCCGCGGCGGTCGTCCGCCGTCGGAGGCATCAGCGGCGCCGCGGGCTGGCCCAGGGAGGCGCGGCGTGAGCCAAAAGGCCGACTGAGGAGTACGTAGGAGGAGGAGGAGGAGGAGGAGGAGGAGGAGGAGGAGGAGGAGGAGGAGGAGGAGGAGGAGGAGGAGGAGGAGGAGGAGGAGGAGGAGGAGGAGGAGGAGGAGGAGGAGGAGGAGGAGGAGGAGGAGGAGGAGAAGGAGGGACGCGCCCGCGCTGCCCTCTTCAAGACGAGAACCCAACGGAGGGTAGGGAAAACCAGCACGCGATTCAGGTTTGAGCACCTGCAACTGCTGGGCTCCTCCCGGGCAGCTGGGCCCGCGCGCGTGCGCGGCGGCGGCGGCGCCAGCGGTGGACGGGGAAGCGCGCCGACGGGCCCCGAGGGCTCACAGGAGGCGCTTCGCGGCGCGGGAGGCCCGCGCGAGAGAGTCCAAGCGCGTCGACGGGCCCCAGCAGGGCCCATTTCGATTCCCCCGATCCGATTCGATTCGATTGCGATGGCTTCCCATTCCGGTTCGATTCATCTTCGAATTCCGCTTTGGATTTCGATTTCTCAACGGAGGCCGACTAGCCTGCCGATTTCCGCCGATTCGACTTCTCCTCACTTGGTCTGCCAAAATTCCGCTGATCCGATTCATTTCGATCGTATATCCGATTATTGATTCGATTATGGGCTCTCTTGCGCAGTAAAAGTCTGAAGGCGGCGGCAAGGCTGGACTGCATTTGCTCACAGCCACCCTCACAGGGGTGGCTCGAAGCAAAGGATCGGCGCACCGCCCGACCATTGAACCAGATCGTTGGTCAGGGCTTGGTCACAGCCACCCTTACCCGAAACAAAAGATCGGATCCTGGGGCGCTTAGTGAGGAAGCGCCCATCCCGATTTGGGTGCGACCACGCGAGGAGCGCGTCGACGGTGCATCGGCGGTGCGACTCGATGTGTGGTCCGACGATACCCACGATTACGTCGCCCAAGCATCTCGCCGACGCATCGGCGATGCATCGGCGGCGGCGGCACGATCCTGCGACCCCATCTGCTCGGACCTCGTGTGGAGGCCTCCACGAATGAGGTCGACAGCAGTTGGGCGCCTCCAGGGGGCGGAGGGCGTTCGAGGTTCGATTGCCGAAGGCTTCGCGCGGAGCCGCAGGGCGGGGGCCACGGCGTCGAGGCGGGAGCTTGCCGCAGCCGTGCCCCGAGGACTGGGTCCACGAGATCGACGACCTCGCCTTCCAGGCAGACGTGCTCATCTCGGGTCGGACGACAGGGCAGGGCGGCACCGGGGAGGGCGTGGGCTGCGACGACTGCTGCGTGCCTGGGGGTTCGGCCCCGCCGTTGGGCACCGTGCCTCGGCGCACGGGCCCTTCCCGGCGCCGGGAGGCGCTGGAGCGCTCAGCTGCGCGAGCCGAGTCTCGGGAGGGACCAGAACACACCGACACAATGAATCGTCGAGTCTCAAGAAGATATATGGGAAAGTATGGGAGAAGCGGTGGGGAAGACGAGAACCCGGAAAATGCAGGAAGATATAAGGGAATCCTGTTTTTTGTGTCCGTTTATTCGTGTGTCCCAGGGCCCCTTCAGGGTCGTTGACGCCCCCCGTTGCTGACCCCCCTCCGTCGTCCGACCCGGCGGTCGTGGCCGGCAACCTGGCGATGACTGCAGTCGGCATCGAGCGCGCGCTCACAACGCTGAGGCAGAAGTTTCGGCGGGTCTTCTTCACACCAGGATCGGGGGGGGCCAAGAGGGGGTGATGCCTAGGGGGGGAGATCATGGCCGATGCCATAAGATCCCCCCGGATTTCAGGGCGCTTCTTCGTGTTTCAGTGCGCCCCTTGGTCCCCCACTCGTCCGCGCACATGCCTCGGGCCATGATTTGCGCACCCTCCTCCTGGACGCCTCCCTTTCGGACGCCCCCGACAGGTGACCACGACCTCCAGATCCATCAGACCGAGCACGCGCGGTATCCGGATTCGATGGCAAAGTTCATTGCCATCATCTCCTTATGCGACGATCTCGGTGTGGACATATGCCCAGCTCCCATCTGGGACGGCCTGTTGGTGGTGCCAATCCTGTCGTGGTACGACGTCGAGTATGACGTGAACGACCCGTTTCCCGACCCGAACGTGCAGACCGACGCAGAATGCAAGTGGCCCATGGACGCAGACACACAGGCGGGACTGGGAGAAGGCGGGGCAGGATGAGGCGATGGAGGAGCAGCAGCAGCAGCAGGAGTAGGGCCAAGTATGGCGTGCATTTGGGTCCGCCGGCGTGTGCCGGCTTCCGTTGGTGCCAGCCCATCTGCTTCTTTCTGCCAGCGAGCGTTTCATCGATGTTGTGTCCAGGCGATTTCAGTCGGCCGTTAGAGCCTAGGGCCTACCCCTGATGGAAAACTAGCCGGTTGGCGGTGTCGGCCATCTTTTTATCCCCCGTCTTCCTCATCGTCATGTTCTTCCGATCTTCATACCATATACATATAATCATGCTCCCTTCTGCCAGCTAGTCAGCCGATCGCAAACGGATTCGGGACCCATCCGAGCCCCCTCAACAACGATTCAAAGTCAGCGTGTTTGTTATCAACATGGGCGTTCTGTCGTCGACGATACAAAATTCGTGGCAGGAATGGGGCGCGCGCGAAAGGGCGAAATGTCGTTCTTGGCCTCACGCTAATTTGGTTTTGAAAGCTGCGTTCACGCTTGAGCGCGGCCCACAGTCTTGGCTCGTCAATTCGTCGGCAGCGGGGTCGCGCGCGAGCAGGCGAGCTGTTCTTGCCCACGCGTCGGGCAGATTTCGCCTGGCCGCGCGCAAGTGGGCGACATGTCGTTCTCTCGCGCGGATGTCGTCTGAAAGTTGCGTTTCCCGCTTGGGCGCGGGACACGTGCGTCGCTCACCAATTCGTCGGCATGGGGGTCTCACGCAAGCGGGCGAAATGTCGCTCTCGCCCACGCGCCGCGCAGATTCCGCCAGAGCTCCCGCTTCGGCGCGGCGCTGCCTTCGCCGGTGCTGCCGGACATCCGGGCGCGCACGAGTGAGTTGAATGGTGATCTCGCCGAAGCGTCGCCGGGGGGGCCCGCGAGGACTCCGCTCCCACCGGTGTGCAGCCCATGCTTGCCTTGGGCCACGGGCACGTCTAGCAACACACGACCTGTTTGCAGCCCGTGATTTCCTTTCGCCGTCGGAAGTGGGGCTGCGCGCACGACTCCCGATGTCCAGTGATGCCAGCACTGACTAGTCTGTGTGATGGGAGGGAGGGTGGGAGTGGGCGGGGCCCTCTGACTCGTTCGAGCCGGCCAGCTCAACGCCTGCTCCCACTCTTCCTCCTGCCGCCTTTTCTGTTGCCCCTCCCTACAACTCTCCCTCCTCCCACTCCTCCTCCTCCTCATCATCATCTTCATCACCATCATCATCACCATCATCATCAGCATCATCAACATCATCAACATCATCAGCAATAGCATCATCATCAACAGCATCATCATCAACATCATCATCATCATCATCATCACCACCATCATCAGCAGCAACATCATCAGCAGCAGCAGCATCATCATCTTCATCGTCATGATTGTCATCCTACGCCAGTCCCTCCTCATCCTCCTCCTCCTCTGAGTCCTCCTCCGCCTACTTTTCATACTCCTGTTACTCCTCATCGTCATCATCAGTCTCCATCTTCCTCCTTAAATCCTCCCCATCGTCCTCATCCTCTGACTCCCACTGCTTCCCCTTGGCTTCCTCCTCCGCCTCTACCCCTCCCTCCCTCCATCCCTTCTCTGTCTCTGTCGCCCCCGCCTCCTGCTCATTCTTTAGGTCTGGAGGTATATGATGAAGCTGAACCACCCATTCATGCAGAGGGTGTCGGCGTTGGGCAGCCGCTTCCAGGTCGTGACGTTCTCCCACTGGCTTCCGCGCCAGAACCTGCCGTTCGACAGGCGCCTGCGCCCTCACGATGAGGATGATGATGGAGGATGGTGGACCTTTTGGTGGCGGAGGAGGACGGGTTGGAGGAGGATGGACTAGAGGCCGATTGATGGATGATGGAGGAGGAGAAGGAGGAGGAGGAGAGGAGGTGGACCTCATCCTCCGTTCCTCCATCCCCCCCTTGCACTCTTACACTTCCCTCTTACGTCTCCGCTCCTGCTCCCCATGTCCTTCTTTCTCTCCCCCCTCCCCCCCTCCATGTTCCTCCTTTCTCCGCCCTCCGCATCCTCATCCTTTCCCGCCCCTCCTCCCGTCTCTCCCTCCCTGCGCTCTCTTCCCCTCCCTCCTCCAAGCACTGCCAGCCGTAGAACCCAACCCTTGCACTGTGTGCAGTGTCGTGCGCACGCGGCCGTGCCTACTGGCGCCGTAAGCTGAGCCCTTTTGCGGGGCACAAAGCGTGTGAGAAGTGTGCCATGGCCGTGGTCCGGTGCGCATGCGGTCGGGCTCACCAGCGCCAGCCAGGATTTCGTGGCGCACGGAGCGCGAAGGGCGTGGGTCTGTTGTGCCGCATCCACGGGTTCCAGGGGAGCGGGTTGAGTGGCTCGTCCTCGTGCTGCTCCGCTCCTTCCCCACCTCTCCCGATTCTTCTCTTCCCCTCCCTCTCCCTCCCTTCGTCCTCCTTTTCACCAATCCGCCGACCAGAGCCCCCAGAGCAGCACACTCGAGCGAGGGGCATGCCCACACACCGACGCTCGCGCGGTGCCATGCGCGGCTCCCTGCTCGGGTGTTGATAGAGAGGTGCCCCTGGCCCAAGGTGCCTCGAGCTCTTCGCGCCATTTTCGGGGCCCCCGGGGGCCCTCTGGGCCTCGTAGTGGGATGCTCCGGAGGCCGCGGGGGCCCTCTCCGGAACTCCTGGGGGCACCTCTGGCCAGGGGCACTTCCGGCAGCACCCGGCCTGCGGGGCACGCCGCCCGCGACGAGCGCGGACTCGGCGAGGGTGCGCCCGCGGGCGCCGTTGCCACGGACCCCCTTTGGGGGTACGGCGTGCGGAGGGAGCGGCCCCAGCGGGCGCCTGAAAAGCACGCGGGATACCCCGGAGGTCAGGTGCTTCACCTGGTGGTGCTGTGCTCGCTTACTTTTTGCCCCCCCCTTCGTTCAGTCTCAAAGTGCTGCACCCGCACCCATGCAGCAGCGTCGGGTGCAGCCGCACCACCAGGCAGCAGCGGGGCAAGGAGGGGGACAGGACGGGGCGGCGTCCGCGCGCGGCGCCGGCGGAGGGGGAGAGCGAGGGCCCAGGGCCGCAGGAGGGTCTGGCACTGCCTCCTCCTCCTCCTCCTCCTCCTCCTCCTCCTCCTCCTCCTCCTCTTCCTCCTCCTCCTCCGTAGCCATTTTGGCTCAAGGCCAAATGGCGTTCCATCCACTGCCTCAGCGGGGTAGGCTCCCATTGCTTTCAGCGATCCTCTTTGCAGCAACAGCCTCGGGCGAGCTGCCGCCCACAGCTTCCATATCCGCAGCGTATCCTTGGGGCGAGCTGCCGCCCATCCCTTCCGCGTGCGACGCTGTCGGCTTGGCGACATGGCAGGCAGCCGTGGACCCAACCCGCGTGGACAACAACAGCGCCAACCTCCTCGGTCTCCTCAGCCCCGTGCTGGATTTGGACGGCCCGCGTACGACTACACAGTATGCAAGCAGTGCCGGTACCGATGGAGGTGGAAGGGCAACACCGAGTGCTTCTCGTGCGGCAGGGCCTTCGCCCCCTCCCCGTCGGAGCACCGACAACCTGAAGGTGCCTGGGCCCCTGAACCGTGGCGGACCAGACCGCCGCCAGCCAGGAAGGACTACGGCAGCCAGCCGCCTTCGAAGGACGGCATCTTCCAGGCCCTCAAGCTCCTCCTCGCCGACGAGAAGCATACAGGACTGGTCGATCAACTACAGGATGCGCTACAAGACCCCGCACCACCGCCGCCAGCGCGAACGGCGGAGCAGGCTCTCCAGTCGGCCTTTTCCGTTCTCACCGACCGCGAGCGGAAGTTCCAGCAGACCGTGGACGACGCGGAGGTCGCAGAGCAGTGGCCGGCCGACGCCAAGGCCCGCCAGGAGCAAGCCGCCCTCGACCTGGTCAAGGCCAAACGGGCATGCGAGCAGGTTCAGGAGGAACAACGCCGCAAGCTCGGAGGAGGACCCGCACCACCTCCCGTTCCCAGAGCCGACGAGCTGTTCCGCGTCGACACCACCATCTGGGACGACCTCGGGAAGTATGACGACGCCACCAAGCAGCAGATGGAGCAGTGGAAGAAGGACCTGGACGAACGCCTCGGGCAGCTCCACGAGGGTCAGGAGCTCGTGCGCGAGATCCTCCGCCAGGCCAAAGAGTCCGCTGAGAACCCTGCCGAGCGCAAGCGTGGGCGTGAACAAGAGCCTGCCGACACTGCCGCCGTGGACCCCGCCGACATCCCAGTGGGAGGCCAAGCCGCGGGAGGAGGCGCCCCAGTACCTGGGGGCACTACCGCCGACGAGCTTCGCGATGACGAGCCCAGCGCTGCCGACCGTGAAGCCGCTGCCGCCCTCATCGCCGACTCGGTCGCCAGGGCCAAGCAGATGGCCGCCTCCACCAGAGGGAAAGGCAAGTCAGGCTCCGAGTCGCCCGCCAGCCAGAAGCCGGGGCAACGCCAACCTCAAGGCCCAGATCCTCTTCGGCAACATCACGGAGTGGGGGCCGCAGGCCGCGAACTTCTGCCGCACCATCGGCTACCAGTACCACGTGCTCGCGCTCGCGGAGACGCACGTCGATGCCAGGGGCCTCGGCGACCTGCACGGTAAGCTCGCCGTGGGCGGCTGGAAGATGGCCGCCACTCCCGCTATCCCGACACACAAGTCGGACGTGGGCACGCACGGCGGCGAGTGGGTGCTGGCGCGGCGGGACGTCGCTGCCACTACCTTTGAGGGCTACAGGGAGCACTACCTCCAGACCTACAAGCGCCAGCCGTTCGTGGGCTTTTCGCCCACTATCCTCCACACCAGGAGCGGCGACGTGATCGTCAATCCGCGTACTTGCGGGCAGGCCTCCGTGACATGGGGGCCAATCGCGACATCCTGATGTCGATCTCCACCTTCCTTGACATGCTTGCTGATCCGTGGATCATCTTGGCCGACTGGAACTACGAGTCGCTCTGGTGGCAGGACAAACCGTGGCTCAGCCGCTGGAATGGCGCCATCGTCACCGACCCTGCTGGCACCGTCACGTGCGACAAGGGCAAGGGCTCCGTCTACGACTACGCGATCGTCA